CTTCTCCCATCCCCCCGGCCCTCTGAGGATACCACCTAGCATGGCTGTCTAATAAAGTGCCCATCCCCTCATCCAGTGCAGGCCCAGACCAGGGAGACATCAGTGACTGGGAGGCCAAAGGTTGAGCCCAGATCTGGTCCAGACTGCTCCACCAAGGAGGTCAAAATGACACAACCACTGTATTTTCGGCCCAACTTTTCAGTTCTCTCTGCTCCCACACTGGTCTGTGAACTCCTTGAGGGTAGGGACTGTGTCTCATTCATTCATTCATTTGTTCATTCAGTCACTTATTCATTCAGCAAACACTTGTTGAGCACCTGCCATGTGGCAAGCACGCTGTTAGGCACTCGGAATCCCGCTGTTATCAACCAGGGTTTGGTCAGAGTGGCAGAACTACTAAGAGGTACCTAGATATAAAGTGAGGGATTTTTTTTTTTTTTTTTTTTTGCCGTACGCGGGCCTCTCACTGTTGTGGCCTCTCCCGTTGCGGAGCACAGGCTCCGGACATGCAGGCTCAGCGGCCATGGCTCACGGCCCCAGCCGCTCCGCGGCACATGGGATCTTCCCGGACCGGGGCACGAATCCGCGTCCCCTGCCTCGGCAGGCGGAATCTCAACCACTGCGCCACCAGGGAAGCCCAAAATGAGGGATTTTAATAGGGATTTGTCTTTCTGTGATGCTGGGAGCCCATGAAACAGTCTGTGAGAGGCTATTCCCTTTTGTGCTGTTGCTGCTGCCTGAAGTCTTACAGCCCAAGTGGCAGGGCAAACTGGAACTGCAAAGGATGGGTGGAGCCCAAGAGGAAAGCCTAGAACACCCTTCTGCATCTCACCACCTCCAAGACTTCACCCAGAGAAGATAAAGGAGGCGATCTGGCAGGACCCAGAGTTGCTGCAGCCCTGGCTTCTTTGCCACACCAACACAGTGAGCCCAGCAGATAAAGGACAACGTGCATTAGCCGCAAATGCATCCCATGCCAGGCTCCGACTTTCTGATTGTACAAATCAAGTGACGTCTAGTCCACCTCTGCTTCCAAATCTCAGGCAAAACATCTCTTAAGAGACCCATGCTAACCTGGAACTCTGCAGGGATGGAAATTCTGGGAAATACAGCTTCAGCATAGCTAAGTGACAGTACAGATCCATGACAGTCTACCCCTTGTTGACCTGGCATCCATACACATCTCTTTCAATCATTCTTAACCTCCAAATAAAGACAATAGCAAAATCCTGTTTCTGCCTAACATAATGAGTACAACTTGAAACAAACTAACATCCCCTAAAGAGGATACCAAGTCCTTTTACACATCTTTGGGTCATGGTCATTTCTATTCCAGTTGGGTCGTAACCCCCTTTTGATATTCTCTGATTTAAATACTGAGATGTAAGGTTAGCTGCACGAACACAGCTTCTGCATGACAGGAGGGCCACCCCAGAGGAGGTCTGTAATGTTGCAGCTGTCTACATTCATGGAGTGCCAGCACATCGTGGACAACCATCTGTAAGACAGGCCCAGAACTTTTTCTTCCTTGGGCATCTGGTCATAGGGAACTCGCGCATGAAGTCACTGGTTCAGATTAAGAAAAAGGAGACAATACAGCAGGTCTAGAGGCCGTGGACCTCTGTGCCCCTTACTTATGCAGCTCACCTGGGCCTTCAGCACCTGTTTAGGTCCAGTTTCACATATTATCATGTGATGATGTAATTGCTGCCATGCACACCCAATTTCATAACTTGGTGGGTCAGATAACAGCCAGTCTCATGGTAACTTGTTAACCCGAGGTCAAGAATCCAGTCTCCCTGAAGATCCATTAGCAAGCCAGATGTTGTTTCTCAAAAGGAGAACAGTTATCTGCAGCGGATGGAGGGGCTTTGCTCCAAAATCCTAAGGGTCTGCCCTGTGCTTTACCAGTAGGGCCCTGTGAAATCTTTCATGTGACATTTCTACCTGCACACACTCAGCAACCATTGGTCTGCTGGGTCTCTTGTGCATTTTCAGTTTGGTAACAGCTATAATTAACACCCCCCCCCCCATGTACGTATGCTCTAGAGATGATTTTTCATGTTTGAGGGGGTCCCATTTGTATATGAAGCCCACTTTCAAATGCCAGTGAGGGCCTGTACTTACAAGGCAACCTGTCCTTAAGTGTCTGTGTATCTGTGTCATCTGCCAACTTCTGTATAAAGATCTATCCAGGGAGGCATTTATGGTCTGGTCTGTACATTTCAGTATCTCCCTTGAAAGGGTGGGGGATGTGATTTTGAAAGGGAGACCTTCCCGATGGTTCTCTTTACAGCCAAGGAATAGTCAAAGAGAGCAGTCAAGGAGACCAACTCTTCCCAGGTTACAGGGATCGCGTGACTCCATCATTTCCCCGTGGCTGTTCACTGCAGTGAGAGTGGGGCAGGGGAGCACCATGGAGGACCTCAGTGGGGTCCCCTCTACTGAGGACGAAACCAGTGCACCAGCGAGTCTAACCACCAAAGGACAGACTCTGGAATCCCCAGAGGGAGTCAGAGCAGAGAAGAAATAGAGCGGGCTCTCAGGCTGAATCCAGGGGATTCTCCTAAGAACTCCCAATGTGGGTGAGTCCCTGAGCCACTCCAGGTTCCATTTTTTCTCTTTTGGGGCCAGAGTTGAAGACAGTGGGAAAGTGGTCAGAACCCAGAGTCTAGAACCAGGATCTGAGCTCTAAACCTACTTCTGCTATTGATGTGCTGTGTGACTTTGGGAAAGTCTCCTAACCTCTCTGGGCCTCAGCTTCTTGGTAGATAAATGAAGGCTCTCCATGAGCCCTTCCAGCTCAAACCCATGTCAGCCTGTGGTGTTGCTTTCATAATATTGCAACATCCCTCATCCACAAATGCCTGTCTGAATACCAGTGCTTTGAGCTTACTTGGATGCCCTGGTAAGAGGGGCCTGAATGCAGTCCCCTCCTGCAGAGCTTACCAGCAAGACACCACCCTGCCTGCCACCTGACCCTGACGGGAGAAGGGAGAAGCCTGGGCTGAGGTCTCTTCTCCATCATCCAGAATATCACAATTGAAGAGAAATGGCATCGAGAGTGAAGCTCCCAATTTCCTTTACACACCTATTTAAAAATGGATTTGGAAAATGGCTCTGATCAAAAAAATTTCATGAGCGAATTGGACATTTGAATTGCGTTCTTTGTTACATTGTCAAATTTAGACGCAAGTCCATAGCAAACTTTTCGAAAACACTAGTACATTCAGGGTAATTGCATAAAATTAAATTTTATTTTGAAAATGTTCAACATTGGAGGTTTTTAAATATAGATCCCATTTATCATGTGGTTATTTTGGGATTTGTCAGTGGAAAGAAGCCAAATGTCCTTTCTTGGAAAGGACTCTCCTTTGTTTTGGGATGTGTCATTTCTTCCTGCAGTCAGGGTATTAGAACACCCTTTCTTTTATGAATAGATAGATGAGGTAGGTTCTTTAGTGTCCTTCCTTGGTAAAAATAAACCCCATAGTTGAACTCTATTTTTTTTTTATAAATTTATTTATTTTTGGCTGTGTTGGGTCTTCGTTTCTGTGCGAGGGCTTTCTCTAGTTGTGGCAAGCGGGGGCCCCTCTTCATCGCGGTGCGCGGGCCTCTCACTATGGCGGCCTCTCCTGTTGCGGAGCACAGGCTCCAGACGTGCAGGCTCAGTAGTTGTGGCGCACGGGCCTAGTTGCTCCATGGCATGTGGGATCCTCCCAGACCAGGGCTCGAACCCGTGTCCCTTACATTAACAGGCAGATTCTCAACCACTGCGCCACCAGGGAAGCCTGAACTCTATTTTTTTAAACCCCATAGTTGAACTCTATTTTTTTAATGTCTTGCTCTGTGAAATCCCAGAACCTCAGCATTGCCAGGTCATCATCAAGGTAGCTTTGGGATTCCCAATTTACTTCGCAAAAAACATTAGTTTCTTTTTTTTTTTTTTTTTTTTTTTTTTTGGTACGCAGGTCTCTCACTGCTGTGGCCTCTCTCGCTGTGGAGCACAGGCTCCGGACGCGCAGGCTCAGCAGCCATGGCTCACGGGCCCAGCCGCTCCCTGGCATGTGGGATCATCCCGGACCAGGGCACGAACCCGTGTCCCCTGCATCGGCAGGTGGACTCTCAACCACTGTGCCACCAGGGAAGCCGTACAGTTTCTTTTTTAAAGAGACCAGAAATCAGAGAGGTTCAGTAATGAGCCTGAGACCACACAGCTGGAGAAGCCAAGTTGGCATTCAAATGCAGTGCTCTCTGGTCTGGAAGCCCAAGATGGCACGATTGCCAATCATCTTCTCCCCACTCCCTGGAGGAAGAATGAGGTCCAGTGCTTGGCTCGAGTGGACCCAAGGTTTAAGGAGATGAGCCCCAAAGAAGGCTTGGTACTCATCCCAGGAAACCTTCTAGTTACTAATCTGTACCTTCCTCCTCTGAGGGAACATGGTTAATGCTGGGTCTGGTGCCCCAACAGCCGAGAAAGAGGTGCAGGCAATCCTCCACAGCAGGGGAAATACCTGTGTGGTTATTATTAGCCTTGAGAAGGAATTTTATTTAATATCTATGTGGCAGAATTATGGAGTCACTTTTGCTTCCACTTCAGTGAAAATTCTCTACAGGATGGTAGTGATAACCCAACTGCAGAACTGAAAAGTCAATGCATCCCAGGAAGGCCTCCTTCCTGGAGAAGCAGGGCTGTCTTCAGGGATGAGGAGAAACACAGCTGGCCTGGAGTGAAGGGCGAGCTTTCGGCACCAGAGCAGCTGATCTCACAAGTGGAGGCCAGGGACCCTGACCTTGCCGAGTCTAATGACCAGAGTCACTCTCCTGGAACTCTGGAGGATGAAGTGTGGCTGTGGGCCTCCTCCGAGCCCAGTGGAACATCAAGAGAGAATGAGGTCCCAGACCTGGGAGCCTCTCTGGGGATTCCAGCAGAGCGGGTAAGCTCTGTGCTGTAGGAGAGGGTGTAAGAATCTTGGTCCAGGAGGAGCTCACTGAGGCGACTAGATGCAGAGGAAGTTGGGAAAGTATCGATAACGAGGGTTGTAGCTCCTTATGTTTCTTTTCAGGCAGTAGACGAAATGCTGGTCACAGGCGCAGAGCTGCATCTGGCAGAGGGACCCACGTTCTGCAAACAGGACACCAAATGCAGGATGAGGAAGAAGAGATGCTCTATGACACTGACTCTGGACTTGCTTCAGTCAGGACTTGCTGCCAGCCTAAGCAGACTCCCCAGTCTCCTTCCTGCCCTCAGTCTGATGTGGGAGGCACAGCTTCTATACTGGGGGTGCATAACCTGATGGAAGAGGCACAGCTGCTGCCCAGGGCGAGGTTTCAGCTGAGGGAGACACCAATCCTGCCCTCAGGGAGTCCCCAGTCTGATGGAGGACACGCATTCCCTCCCCATCAGACTGGGAGCTCTCAGTCTGGTGATGGAGACAGCCCTGTCTCTGGAGGAACTTCAGTTCTCAGAGAGGAGACACCATCCCCAGATTTAGCTTTGAACTCAGAAGGACCTGAGCTTGAATCCCGACTCTAGCTGTGGGCACTGGCAAGCCTTTGAGTCTGTTTCCTCATCTGTAAAGTGGGGACACTAAAGCCACCCCACAGCAAGCAAAAGGACATATGGAAAGCACTTGACTCCTAATACATGCTGAGTCTAAGATGTTTCCGCCCGCCCCCTAGAGGTCAGATTCAGCTGCAATAATCCTGCCCCTGTTGCCCCCATCTCTGCCCCCACAAGATATAGACTGGCTGACCTCTTGGGGCACCTGACCTCAGAGGCAGCAGGGACCCAGGCTCTTCCAGTGGCCTGAATGGAAGCCCCAGCCTTACCACAGGTGACCAGGCCGCATGCAACTCTGTATCTGTACACCTGTGTCAAGGCATTGCAGCCTTTTTTCTCCAGCTGCGCATAGCAGTGGTCATGCATCCAACAGCACCTGTCAATGCAAGAGATTTAGATCCTGAGCAGAAGGGGCCTGTCCCTTGAGCAGAGGCCACAATGGTTGGTGAGATCTGACCAAGAAAGAATCTCATAATATGGCTGAGTCCTTTCTGCTCTTCCATTAAGCCTGTCCCACACATGTACCAGTTCACGGACCAGCTCTTTCCTCCTGGGCCCACGGTGAGACTACATTTCCCAGCCCCACTTGCAGGTATGTGTGGTCACATGACGAGGCTGGCACCCTGGAAAATGTACAGCACTTCTAGACCTACCCATAAAAACCTCCCACTCTAGGAGACCTTCAAGATGGCGGAGGAGTAAGATATGGAGATCACCTTCCTCCCCACAAATACATCAGAAATACATCTACATGTGGAACAACTCCTACAGAACACCTACTGAACGCTGGCAGAAGACCTCAGACTTCTCAAAAGGGAAAAGACACCCTCAGGAGACCTACACGCAGAGGTGGGGCCAAATCCAAAGCTGAACCCCAGGAGCTGTGCAAACAAAGAAGAGAAAGGGAAATCTCTCCCAGCAGCCTCAGGAGCAGCGGATTAAATCTCCACCATCAACCTGATGTACGCTGCATCTGTGGAATACCTGAACAGACAACGAATCATCCCAAATTGAGGTGGTAGACTTTGGGAGCAACTGTAGACTTGGGGTTTGCTTCCTGCATCTAATTTGTTTCTGGTTTTATGTTTATCTTAGTTTAGTATTTAGAGTTTATTGCCATTGGTAGATTTGTTTATTGATTTGGTTGCTTTCTTCCTTTTTATATATATATATTTTTTTTTCATATATATATATATTTTTCCTTTTTCTCTTTTTGTGAGTGTGTATGTATATGCTTCTTTGTGTGATTTTGTCTGTATAGGTTTGTTTTTACCATTTGTCCTATGGTTCTGTCTGTCTGTTTTTGTTTTTTGGGTTTTTTTTAGTATAGTTTTTAGCACTTGTTATAATTTGTGGATTTCTTTTTTGGTTTCGTTGCTCTCTTTCTTTTTTTTTCTTTTTTTATTATTTTTAAATTTTTAATAATTTTTTTATTTTAATAACTTTTTAATTTAATTTAATTTAATTTATTTTTTCTCCCTTTTCTTCTGAGTCGTGTGGCTGACAGGGTCTTGGTGCTCTGGCTGGGCATCAGGCCTGTGCCTCTGAGGTGGGAGAGCCAAGTTCAGGACATTGGTCCACCAGAGACCTCCCGGCTCCATGTAGTATCAAACAGCAAAAGCTCTCCCAGAGATCTCCATCTCAAAGCTAAGACTCAGCTCCAGTCAATGACCAGCAAACTACAGTACTGGACACCCTATGCCAAACACCTAGCAAGACAGGAACACAACCCCACCCATTAGCAGAGAGGCCACCTAAAATCATAATAAGGTCACAGACACCACAAAACACACCACCAGACGTGGTCCTGCCCACCAGAAAGACAAGATACAGCCTCATCCACCAGAACACATGCACAAGTCTCTCCACCAGGAAGCCTGCACAACCCACTGAACCAACCTTAGCCACTGGGGGCAGACACCAAAAACAATGGGAACTATGAACCTGCAGCCTGTGAAAAGGAGACCCCAAACACAGTAAGTTAAGCAAAATGAGAAGACAGAGAAACACACAGCAGACGAAGGAGCAAGATAAAAACCCACCAGACCTAACAAATGAAGAGGAAATAGGCAGTCTACCTGAAAAAGAATTCAGAGTAATGATAGTAAAGATAACCAAAATCTTGGAAATAGAATGGAGAAAATACAAGAAACGTTTAACAAGGACCTAGAAGAACTAAAGAGCAAACACACAATGATGAACAACACAATAAATGAAATTAAAAATTCTCTAGAAGGAATCAATAGCAGAATAACTGAGGCAGAAGAACAGATAAGTGACCTGGAAGATAAAATAGTGGAAATAACTACCACAGAGCACAATAAAGAAAAAAGAATGAAAAGAATTGAAGGCAGTCTCAGAGACCTCTGGGACAACATTAAACACACCAACATTTGAAGTATAGGGGTCCCAGAAGAAGAAGAGAAAAAGAAAGGGACTGAGAAAATATTTGAACAGATTATAGTCGAAAACTTCCCTAATATGGGAAAGGAAATAGTCAATCAAGTCCAGGAAGTGCAGAGAGTCCCATACAGGATAAATCCAAGGAGAAACATGCCAAGACACATATTAATCAAACTATCAAAAATTAAATACAAAGAAAAATTAAAAGCAGCAAGGGAAAAACAACAAATAACATACAAGGGAATCCCCCAGAAGGTTAACAGCTGATCTTTCAGCAGAAACTCTGCAGTCCAAAAGGGAGTGGCAGGACATATTTAAAGTAATGAAAGGGAAAAGCCTACAACCAAGAATACTCTACCCAGCAAGGATCTCATCCAGATTCAACGGAGAAATTAAAACCTTTTCAGACAAGCAGAAGCTAAGAGAATTCAGCACCACCAAACCAGCTTTACAACAAATTCTAAAGGAACTTCTCTAGGCAGGAAACACAAGAGAAAGAAAAGACCTACAATAAAAAACCCAAAACAATTAAGAAAATGGTAATAGGAACATACATATCAATAACTACCTTAAATGTAAATCAATTAAATGCTCCAACCAAAAGACATAGACTGGCTGAATGGATACAAAAACAAGATCCATATATATGCTGTCTACAAGAGACCTAGGAACACATACAGACTGAAAGTGAGGGGATGGAAAAAGATATTCTATGCAAATAGAAATCAAAAGAAAGCTGGAGTAGTGATTCTCATATCAGACAAAATAGATTTTAAAATATAGACTATTACAAGAGACAAAGAAAGACAATACATAATGATCAAGGGATGGATCCAGGAAGAAGATATAAAAATAGTAAATATTTATGCACCCAACATAGGAGCACCTCAATACATAAGGCAAATACTAACAGCCATAAAAGGGGAAATCAACAGTAACACATTCATAGTAGGGGACTTTAACACCCCACTTTCACCAATGGACAGATCATCCAAAATGAAAATAAACAAGGAAACACAAGCTTTAAATGATACATTAAACAAGATGGACTTAATTGATATTTATAGGACACTCCATCCAAAAACAACAGAATACACATTTTTCTCAAGTGCTCATGGAACATTCTCCAGGATAGATCATATCTTGGGTCACAAATCAAGCCTTGGTAGATTTAAGAAAATTGAAATTGTATCAAGTATCTTTTCTGACCACAATGCTATGAGACTATATATCAGTTAGAGGAAAAAATATGTAAAAAATACAAACACGTGGAGGCTAAACAATACACTACTAAATAACCAAGAGATCACTGAAAAAATCAAAGAGAAAATTTAAAAATACCTAGAAACACATGACAATGAAAACACGACCACCCAAAACCTATGGGATGCAGCAAAAGCAGTTCTAAGTGGGAAGTTTATAGCAATACAATCCTACGTCAAGAAACAAGAAACATCTCAAATAAACAACCTAACCCTACACCTAAAGCAATTAGAGAAAGAAGAACAAACCCCCCCCCCCCGAAAGTTAACAGAAGGAAAGAAATCATAAAGATCAGATCAGAAATAAATGAAAAAGAAATGAAGGAAACAATAGCAAAGATCAATAAAACTAAAACCTGGTTCTTTGAGAAGATACACAAAATTGATAAACCATTAGCCAGACTCATCAAGAAAAAATGGGAGAAGACTCAAATCAATAGAATTGGAAATGGAAAAGGAGAAGTAACAGCTGACACGGCAGAAATACAAAGGATCATGAGAGATTACTACAAGCAACTATATGCCAGTAAAATGGACAACCTGGAAGAAATGGACAAATCCTTAGAAAAGCACAACCTTCTGAGACTGAAACAGGAAGAAATAGAAAATATAAACAGACCAATCACAAGCACTGAAATTGAGACTGTGATTAAAAATCTTCCAACAAACAAAAGCCCAGGACCAGATGGCTTCACAGGAGAATTCTGTCAAACATTTAGAGAAGAGCTAACACTTATCCTTCTCAAACTCTTCCAAAATATAACAGAGGGAGGAACACTCCCAAACTCATTCTCCGAGGCCACCATAACGCTGGTACTAAAACCAGACAAAGATGTCACAAAGAAAGAAAATTACTGGCCAATATCACTGATGAACATAAATGCAAAAATCCTCAATACTAGCAAACAGAATCCCACAGCACATTAAAAGGATCATACACCATGATCAAGTGGGGATTATCCCAGGAATGCAAGGATTCTTCAACATACTCAAATCAATCAATGTGATACACCATATTAACAAATTGAAGGAGAAAAATCATATGATCATCTCAATAGATGCAGAAAAAGCTTTTGACAAATTCAACACCCATTTATGTTAAAAACCTTCCAGAAAGTAGGCAGAGAGGGAGCTTACCTCAACATAATAAAGGCCATATATGACAAACCCACAGCCAACATCGTTCTCAATGGTGAAAAATTGAAACCATTTCCTCTAAGATCAGGAAGAAGAGAAGGTTGTCCACTCCCACCACTATTATTTAACATAGTTTTGGAAGCTTTAGCCACAGCAATGAGAGAAGAAAAAGAAATAAAAGGAATCCAAATCAGAAAAGTAGAAGTAAAGCTGTCACTGTTTGCAGATGACATGATACTATACATAGAGAATCCTAAAGATGCTACCAGAAAACTGCTGGAACTAATTAGTGAATCTGGTAAAGTAGCAGGATACAAAATTAATGCATAGAAATCTCTTGCATTCCTATACACTAATGATGAAAAATCTGAAAGAGAAATTAAGGAAACACTCCCATTTACCATCGTAACAAAAAGAATAAAATACCTAGGAATAAACCTACCTAAGGAGACAAAAGATCTGTATGCAGAAAACTATAATACACTGATGAACGAAATTAAAGATGATACAAACCGATGGAGAGATACATCATGTTCTTGGACTGGAAGAATCAGCATTGTGAAAATGACTATTCTACCCAAAGCAATCTACAGATTCAGTGCAATCCCTATCAAACTACCAGTGACATTTTTCACAGAACTAGAACAAAAAATTTCACAATTTGTATGGAAACACAAAAGACCCTGAATAGCCAAAGCAATCTTGAGAAAGAAAAACAGGCTGGAGGAATCAGACTCCCGGACTTCAGTCTATACTACAAAGCTACAGTAATCAAGACAGTATGGTACTTGCACAAAAACAGAAATATAGATCAATGGAACAGGATACAAAGCCCAGAGATAAACTCATGCACATATGGTCACCTTATTTTTGGTAAAGGAGGCAAGAATATACAATGGAGAAAAGACAGCCTCTTCAATAAGTGGTGCTGGGAAAACTGGACAGCTACATGTAAAAGAATGAAGTTAGAACACTCCCTAACACCATACACAAAAATAAGCTCAAAATGGATTAAAGACCTAAATGTAAGGCCAGACACTATCAAACTCTTAGAGGAAAACACAGGCAGAACACTCTATGACATAAATCACAGCAAGGTCCTTTTTGACCCACCTCCTAGAGAAATGGAAATAAAAACAAAAATAAACAAATGGGACCTAATGAAACAAAAGCTTTTCCACAGCAAAGGAAGACATAAAGAAGACGACAAGACAACACTCAGAAAGGGAGAAAATATTTGCAAATGAAGCAATTGACAAAGGATTGATCTCCAAAATTTACAAGCAGCTCATGCAGCTCAATATCAAAAACACAAACAACCCAATCCAAAAATAGGCAGAAGACCTCAAAAGACATTTCTCCAAAGAAGATATACAGATTGCCAACAAACACATGAAAGAATGCTCAACATCATTAATCATTAGACAAATGCAAATCAAAACTACAATGAGTTATCACCTCACACCAGTCAGAATGGCCATCATCAAAAAATCTAGAAACAATAAATGCTGGAGAGGGTGTGGAGAAAAGGGAACACTCTTGCACTGTTGGTGGGAATGTAAATTGATACAGCCACTATGGAGAACAGTATGGAGGTTCCTTAAAAAATTAAAAATAGAACTACCATATGACCCAGCAATCCCACTGCTGGGCATATACCCTGAGAAAACCATAATTCAAAAAGAGTCATGTCCCACAATGTTCATTGCAGCTCTATTTACAATAGCCAGGACATGGAAACAACCTAAGTGTCCATCATCGGATGAATGGCTAAAGAAGATGTGGCACATATATACAATGGAATGTTACTCAGCCATAAAAAGAAACGAAACTGATTTGTTTCTGGTGAGGTGGATGGACCTAGAATCTGTCATACAGAGTGAAGTAAGTCAGAAAGAGGAAAACAAATACCATATGCTAACACATATATATGGAATCTAAAAAAATAAAAATATAAAAAATGGTTGTGAAGAACCTAGGGGTGGGACAGGAATAAAGACGCAGACGTAGAGAATGGACTTGAGGACACAGGGAGGGGGAAGGTTAAGCTGGGACAAAGTGAGAGAGTGGCATGGACTTATATATACTATCAAATGTAAAATAGATAGCTAGTGGGAAGCAGCCACATAGCACAGGGAGATCAGCTTGGTGCTTTGTGACCACCTAGAGGGGTGGGATGGGGAGGGTGGGAGGGAGATGCAAGAGGGAAGAGATATGGGAACATATGTATATGTATAGCTGATTCACTTTGTTATAAAGCAGAAACTAACACACCATTGTAAAGCAATTATACCCCAATAAAGATGTTAAAAAAATAAATTCCCACTCTGTCCTCCACTCTCTCTCCCCCTATCCCAGCTGGATGGAGATGCCCCAGCCAAGGACTCTGAGGCCATGGGGAAAGTCACAAGACAGGAGAAACCTGGGTTCTGGAATTTATATGTGATTCACATGGTCAAATGAGCAAAGACTAAACTTCAATTGTGATAGCTGTGGGCAACTGCATTTTTTTTTAATTTAGATTTACAGAAAAATCGAGAAGATTGTACCAAATGCTCCCTTTTACCCCACACCCAGTTTCCCCTATTAGCAACACTTTTTATGAGTATAATACGTTTGTTACAGCTAAAAAACCAATACTGATACATTATTAAATAAATGTTAACTAATTAAGTAATAATATATCACTATTGATTCATTAATTGTAAAAGTCCATAGTTTCTTTAAATTTTCTTAGTTTTTACCTAAATGTTCTTTTCTATTCCAATATCCAGTAATGGACACCATGTTACATGTAGTTGTCCTGTCTCTTTAGGCTCCTCTTGGCTGTGGCAGTTTGTCACACTTTCCTTGTTTTTGATGACCTTGACAATTTTGAGGAATGGTGGTCAAGTCTTTTGTAGGATGCTCTCCTACTGGGATTTCTTTGATGTTTTTGTCATGATAAGATGGGTTATGGGTTTATTTTGTTGCCCACGTTGTTCCAGTTTTGGCCATTGGGGGCTCTCCCAGTTGGCTCCTGTGCTCTTTGACATATTCCTATCAATGAGGGGTTTGCTTTGGGTTTGTTTTGTTTGAGCCCTTCCTTAATTTGGGGCACTACAAAAAGCTCCAGGTTCATCTTGTATATTTCCTGCCCTAGTCCTAGGATCAGCCATCTCTCCAAGGAGCCTTGGTTCCTCTTATTGGAGAATGGTATCAGAAACCAGGTCTGGGCATTAGGTGCTGCTTATTGCTTCTGGGGTATTGTTTCTTTTAGGGCCTCTCAGACGACAGAGCAAAAAATATATGTGTCTATATTAACCCACGCAATTGCACATATCTCTACATATTTTTATATGTAACCATCTGCATCTATATTCAGCTAACTAGGAGTTTATACTGAAGTCTCCAACTCTAATCCATTATCACATAGATCATTCTAGCTTCCTGTCCCTGCTTGTCTGGTCTGTAAACTCCCACTCCAGCAGTGACAAGCTTGGCTCCAACCATTTGCCCTGCATTTGTTTAAGCCCCCCATCCCCTTATACATGTCTAGCTGTATAAGAATTGTTAACCCAGCAGGTTGTATTTTTCAAAGAGCAATGTCTCCCATCTCACATGTTCTTCTAGAACATTGCCACTTCCCAATCAAGAGGTGGAAACTAGGCCCCCTCTCTCTTAAAGGCTTTGTGACTGCCTTGACGAAGAGAACAGTGGAAGTGACACAGTAGAATTTCTGATGCTGGATCACAAAAACGCCATGTTTTTTTTGTCATGCCATTCTGGAACACTCACTCTTGAAACCCAAGAGGCACCGTGCTGTGAGGAAGTCCAGACAACCTTAGAGAGGCTTGAGTGAGAGGAACTGAGGCCCCTGGGCCACAGCCTCAGCTGAGCTCCCAGCCAGCAGACAGCAACAACTAGCCAGCCACAGGAGTAATCATTCTAGAAAGCAGATCACCCAGCCTCAGCGGAGCGGCCCAAGATGAAGCCAGGTGGAGAAGAGACAAGCCATCCCGCCAAGCCCTGCCCAACTGGCAGAATCTTAGCAAAATAAATGGTTGTCATCGCTTTAGGCTACTACATTTTGGGGTGGTTTGTTATGTAGTGATAGATCAACTGATATATTAGGCACTGAGATTCGGGGAGTTACTAGACGTATCTTGGGCAAGTCAGTTAACCTCTCTGAGACTCAGTTTTCTTATCTATAAAATGGTGCTTTAATACTCATCTTTCAGAATTGATATCGAATTAAATGAGATAATGTGGATACAGAGCCTGGAGCATAAAGGGCAGTTATGACAATTAACTCACCAATCAGTACAATCCTTGGGGGTTCCTTGACCCCCCCAGCCGCAGTAACAGCCATAGAAGCCATAGCTCATCAGGGCGGGCTTCCTAGTCACCTTCTCAATCATCACCCTCAGCTGCAGCAAGCTCCCTGGGACAGCAGGCACACCTGAAAGACAGCCCAGGCAAACCTGCTCCAGGCCCACTTTCCCACGTGCTCCCGCCCTTTCTTTCACCTTGAGGCTCAGAGGGACCAATGTGTCCCTTTTTTATCCTCCCCATTCATGGGAGAGGAATGAGAAACGTGAGGGCAAACAGATAGAGAAGGGATTAGAAGTTTGGACGTGGATGATCCCAGCTCTGCCACTAATTCACAGTATGATGTTGAATAGGTCACTTCATCTCTCAGAGCCTCAGTTTCCTCATCTGCAAAATGCGGGGGTGGGGGTGAGCCTAAAATGAACGCCTAAATTTTGGAGATGTCATGAGGGTTGAAAAAAGATAAAGTATGTAAATTTCCAGCACAGTGACAGACACATAGTAAGTGACCAAGAAATGTTAAGGATAATGAATATCGTATCAGTATGAAGCAGGCAGACAGGCACTTCCTGTCTCTCCTGATGATACACCCGTCCCTCCCCGCAGTTGACACCATCTGGAACGGGAGGCACAGAATCTTAGAGCAGTGTGGGACCCGTAGAGATCACTGGAGCCAGCTCCCTCATCTTACAGTTGGGAAACTGTAGCTCAGAGGGGAAGGTGACTTGCCCAGGGTTTTGCAGTGAGCCAGAGGCACTCTCCCACTCTCCCTGCAGTCTCCAGGGATCTGGCAAGGCATCAGTAGGACAGCCTGTCAGAGGTTGTGTACATGGTGATGGGGCTGCAGGGGAGGCCTAAAGCCAGGCTCCCCCCACGCTGGGCAGTTCCCTCCAGCTGGGAGGTGGCAGCAGGTGGGACATGTAGAAAACCTGGACAGGCCTGAGCAGAGAATGCCCAGGAATTGTGGAATGGAATATTTATATAAGGATCTTGTGTTGTGATAGTTTTATCGTATTTTATTTGGCATCAAAGTAAAAAATCTGCCTCCCATGTCTACAAGCCCCATGTCTTCCACATGGCACAATCTTTCCATATCCCCTCCTAGAATCCTGCTGCAGCCCAACCCATCGACTATTATTCTGTCACAGATAAGGAGACAGAGGCTCGGAGAGCCCAAGGCTCTTGCTGAAATCGACATGGTCAGGGTAGGGCCAGGATTCAAAATCAGGTCGCCAGGACTTCCAAGACTGGTCTCCTTTCCACTACCTTATTGTTCCTGTGGGGTGAAAGGTCAAAGTTCAGAGGTCTCGGGGGCAAGCACTTACTGCAAGCCAGGAAACAAGCCAGTGTGAGGAGGCCCTTCATCTGCAGGGTTCTGGAAAAGAAAACACAGCCCATGACATGTCGATCAGGAGAGGCCCTCATGGCCCATTCAGACCCACTCCTGGCTGGGGAGGGCCACTCCATGGCCCACCAGGCCCCACCCTCTCATGTTGGGCAGTAAACAGGCAACAGCAGCTAGAAAAGATGAGGCAAAAACCTCAAGGAGTTGATGACCCAAGGGGTCCCTGGGAGGAGAGGGGCACCCTGGGTTGTTGAACCCATTAGAGATGGGAGAGAATTTTCCCATGGCAAATACCCCCAACACAATCGCTCTTTCCTGGAAATTCTTTTTCAATTATATTTTACAGCTGTGTTGGTATAAAAACAAATACAGTCCAGGCTGGATTCATTCTTATACATTCATTATATTATATTATTTTTTCTCCTGATTTTAAAAGAATTTAAAATTAAAACATTTTCATGGGCCCCAGGTACCATGTCTACCTAAAAAAATAAGTCGACCCCGGGTGCTCACAACAGCTCTGAAGGGTAGGTATCATTGTTCTGTAGGGGAGCAAAATTTGAACCCCAAAGTGTGTCTCTTTGGCATAAGGATGAATTTAGGCTGATTAATTTTAAGAAACAGAAGATTAGGGGAGTCTTTCTTTTTACCTCTCCCTTAGCTGCCTCAAGAATTTAGATAAAGGGTCTGTTCCAGGCATAGAACTATTACAGAGGTATCTGCAAGGAATATGGGAATAGCTGTGGCTGGAGAAACTTGACAGGGCCTAGAAACCAGAGTCGACCCTGTGTTCCATTGTCTCTGCAGGCCCGGCAAACATTTGCATAACAAACATCTGCTTTTCCAACTCTGTGTGAATTGCCTTCCTCCCATTTGACGTCCCAAACCCCTACCCCCAACATCCTCTCTGGTCTTTAGCAGAAGATCGTATTTAAGATAAGGGCTTGGGCCATTTTGGTGAGTTCCTTAGTTTTCCTGGGTCTCTCCCATGTGTACGTGTTACTAAACTTTTGTTTGATTTTCTGTTAGTCTATCTCATGTCGATTTAATCCTTAGACCAGCCAGGAGAACTTAGAAGGGTAGAAAATGTCTTCCTCCCCAACAGTTCTCATTTTGCCAGTGCAGAAATGGAGGCTCAGAGAGCTCAAACAACCTGCCAGAATTCACGCAGCTGATAAAAAGTGGAGGTGAGGTTCAGACCCAAGCCTGGCACGTCGCTCACTGTCCCATACATCCTCCCTCCCTAGAGGGATGTGTTCCCCTTTGAGCGGAGTGGGCTAGGGTCCTTCACATGCTCTACCCCATGGGCCTGGAGGCCCCAGCTTCCCTCCCCAGCACCTACCTTTGACAAACGCATGAATCACTAGCCACAAGTCCAAAAAACTCACACCCAGAAGGCAAGGGGAATTCCTTATGTCTCGGAGCCAGTGATGGATTCTAACTTGGCCTCTTAGGAGTTCCTTACCAGTGGCTGCCTGCTTCCCTTCCCTCTCTGCGTCGCAAAGTCCTTGTTCACCCAGAGCTGCTCAGCTGACCTATAGTCTGCCAGGATTCCACTCCGATGCCCTGCTGTCTCCGATCCCTGAGTTCCGTGGTCACTCTGAGAGCTCTGCCCCGGACCCCTGGTACCTCCTGTGGCCTGGCTCCAAACACACGACCTCCAACTCCCCAGGGCTCCCAGCAGCTGGGCTGGCCTCTCCATGCCATCCTTTGTCCAGCAGCTCCTCTGAGTTCCAAGAACATTCCTGAGGGTTCTGTCTGCCCACAGCCTCCACTCTGAGGGCTCTAAACAGACAAGGAAAATGACCCTAGACCTTACCCTTCCAAGCCAATCTTCCTCACTGCTTCCTGGAGCTGTGACAGGAGGAGGACACCAGCTACCATGTACCGGGCACCTAAGACATGCCAGACACTGTCCACTGTCTCCTTAAACCTGCAAATGACCCTAACACGTGGGTACACTGTGAAACCTGCTGGCAGTGTCTGCCCTTTAACAGTCATTTGTTGAAAGAAAGAATAGCAGTTGTTGACTTTACAGGCGAAGAAATGGAGCCTCAGGAAGGGAAAGTGAGTTGCCGAAGGATTCAGCCCAGGATTGTGAATCTACTCCTTTGACTGACCCTACTCCACTGCTTCTGAACAGCCCCTGTGTACTAATCATCTTGTTCATTTTCTATATTTCATGACACTTTAACATCTTGGGGACCTTGCCGGGCTGGAAAGAGACAGCCCCTCCAAGACTAGCTAATCCCTAGATAAAGCAAAAGACTCTCCTATGAACGTGGCTTTCAAGTGCAAACCAACCGATCCTAAACTCCCATGTCCAGCCACTTCCTCTATCTCAACTTCACACTCCCAGCCAATATTTCCCCTGGCCTAAACCACCCCAGGGCTGGGACCAGACCACCGGGGACTACCCCTACAGCCTGAAGTCCACTGAAATTATTCAAGCTAGCCTGTCCTAAACTGTTTACCCTGGCCTGTCTTGCCTTAGCCACAGAAAACACAATGCAGGCTCTGGGCCATGCTTTCCCTCATTTCTTCTGTCTAATGATCAACCCTGGTGCTTTTCTGTGTGGCCCTGCTAGGTGTGGTACGTCCCCTTCTCTTGGAAACTGTAACAAACTAGCTTTAAAATGCAATCATCTCCTGATCTGTTGGCTTCACCATACCTGAAGAAAACCAAAATCCCAGGTGCACATTAGATCATCTTGGGACATGGCTGTTGACGTGAGGGAGCAGTGCCAGGTCCCACACAGAAGAGTCTGAAGGTGCACAAAAGAAGTCTCACAGAGGACGTGGCAGAGGCATTGAAATAGCTGCTCTGGAGGCCGGGAAAGTGGACCATCAATGGATCCCAAAGCAGGCTCCCAGCAGAAGGATGTGGGGTTGGATATTTTTATCAGGCAACCACGGAGGAAAATGAGCGAGGCCAAGAGATAATTGTGGAGTGGAGCTCTGGCTGCGGTAATGTGAGGTGGGGACAGTGGGGACAGACAGCCTGACAGAAGCATGGAGACATGGGGGCCAGGGAGTGGCCAGGTCACTGGAGAGACAGGTCCTCCAAGTCTACATACAGCAGCCTCCCTGCTCCCAGGACCACCCACCCCCGCATCCCAGTTCATGTCTCCTGGATGGAAATGATCAACAGCACCAAGCCCCCACTATACAGAAGGTGCTACTGAGACCTCCCCGAAATCTGGGGGAGGCCATGGGGGGCCAGGGGTCTCCTCTCACAGCCCCGTCCCTCTATACGACCTGGTCCCACCCGCCTCGGGCAAGGCAGCCCCCAGAATGAGATCCCTCACCAGTGACACCTTCTCTCTGTCCTCGGTCTGGAGTAGAGGCAGGAGCTGGGCCCAGCTGGTTTTAAGGGCCTCCCTGCCCACCTCTTACACCCCACCTGGGCCAGCTCCAGGATTCATGGTAACTCCCGAAGAAAGCCTTACTTCACCCCTCAAGACCCCTGGGGATATTTTTCCTGTCTGCGCTCAGAGTAGCTATTTCCTGAAGCACGCCAGTCGCCTGGGAGGCTTCCGGGAGAGACACAGAGGAGGGAATAACCACAGTCAAGGTTATTCTCCATGGGTGGCCCATTTTCCCTGACACACAATTTTCTGAGAAGATGTGGGTGTGAGCTCCTTCCTCTCCTTGCTCTTGACTCCCTTTTCTCTCCCCCTCCCCTCACGGCAGTATCAGAGAGAAGCCCCTCCTTGGGCCCCATGAACCCTTCTCTTCCCAGGACCTAAGCACCAGGCATCCGCAGGAACACTGTGAATTCATTTCAATACAGAAAGTACTCATCGAGTGTCTGATCCCTGCCGGGTTATTGCTGGGGATCCACTGTGAATAGGACAGCTTCTCTCCTGGTTGGGAAAACAGATAGTAAAGGCATCCAGTAAATATACAGTACGTCCAAGGGCAATAACTGCTGTGGGGAAAAAAGTCCTCTCTGTTCTGCATTTTCATTTCTTTTTCTCAACCAATTCCTTCCTCTGCCTACAGGTATATATAAGCTTCACCATCCTAAACCAAACAGAAGGAAGCCAAAACAAAAAAAAAGGAAAACATCGCTTGCCGCTGCTGACCTCTCTCCAGCTTTCTTTTTCCTCTAAAAGCCAAAATTCAGGACAGAGACACCTCCTCTTGTCCATCACCCACTCTCTTCTGAACCCCTTGCTGCGTACCTTTTGTTGCATCCCTGAGCCGGCTCTCAGGGATCCCCCAAAGCCTGGCATTGCCCAAGCTTGGGCTTCTCTTGAACACTCCATCCCACTGATTACCTCCTCCTTCTTGAAACTCTTTCC